GAACCAACGTTGTTAAACATTTGGACTTTTTCATATTGTGAAAAGATTTATGGAATCTGAGAAAATTTATTGTGAAAAGACCGTGGCTGGAAGCTAAAGTTGAACGCACATGGCCTTCAAGCTCTCTCAGGTGGCATTTAAAGCTGTAATACAAAAAAAGACAATTGTTTCCCCATGGCACATAATTCTACAAATGAGATTGTAAGGCATGAGCGAGGCTCAGATGGACACAAAGARAAAGGACGCATGTTCTCCGTGGTCAAATGAGTCCTTTTTTTATGCAGCACTAAGCCAACACTGAGAAGAACTGATTCGCAAAAAGGTGCAAATTCTACCAGCTATGATGGAACTAAGCTGCATCAGTGAGCATAGCACTGCATGCACATTTTTATTTTTTGCTAACTGCACACTTCTGCTTGTAGCAACATTAAAACCACCCACTCTTGTGAAATTTGCTTTGGGTCCCACAGGATCCGCGACATCCTAATTCCAGTGTAGTTCTCTCCCCTGGAGGTCTGGAGTTATTTTGTTAGTACAATGCCAGACCTCATTTTGCATGACTTATGAGAGTTTGGCTTCATAGATACAGACTGTGTTGTGATTGACTGGCCTGCCTGCAGTGCAGAACTGTCTCTTAATGAAAATGRATGAATCATCACAAAGAGGAGAATGTGGCTATGACCTCAAAGTGTTGAGTTGCTGAAATCAAGGGCAGAAATTCTGTTTCATCATTGGAGGACAATAAACAGGGATTTAGTAAGAGCCATTTTTAGGGGGATGTACTGTAGATTAACAATAATAATAGTGTAATTTGGAGGATACTACTAATGGTACCTTCCAAATTACACTGCTACCACTACTACTACAACTACTACTATTACTACTACCAGTAGTATTAGGAAGAATATTACTATTAATAATAATGTTTCCTAAATTCTCATCAAGGAGCCAGTCTTTGTTCTCCCAGGCAACTTGCCTCACCACTGTTCTAACATGTCACTTCCGCTTATGACTGCCATATGTGTTTTATTCAGCAAGAGCGCACCTTGATACCACTTGCAACAATGTAGCAATTAGTGTCAACAGTTATAAAATGAATAAGAACTGCAAATAAAAACAAGTAGAGATTAAAATAATGATACTCTGTTCCATTCATACATTCCTTAAGTGTGCAGCTGTGAAACAAATTGGAGATTTGTTTYCATTTCCTAAATACAGTGGAGTTTCTGGGTGAAGACTCTAAAAATCAGTGCAGCTGTACTTAAACATTTTAAATAAATGAACAAATCAGCTTTTAAGTTTGATTGAATTTTGAAACCATCTGTAATCTGTGTATATATTAAGAAACGGTACAATCTTGGTAATAAAATATGTAAATGTATGTAAAAATGCATTTTTTGCACAATATTGCTGCAGTTTTCYGTGGTGTCTATGAAACAATTGGAAAAACCAAGGGAATGAGCTATGATAGAAAAGAGCTGACATTGTAAAAAAAAAAATACCAGCTCCAGTTTTAAATGACTGATTTATTTAATTTGATTCAAAAGCCAATTAGGGAGTCACACTCTTCCTTTGTTTGGGCAACTTTTTTCCTTGTTTCTTTGCTTTAGTTSCTCAAAGAAAGAAAGAAAGCAGGATCCCAGAGATGAGTTTGCACAGTCATCGTGTCCTGCTGTCCCATCAGCATCTTGTGAGTTCTGTGTGTTTCCTCCAGCTCCTTGCTGCCGTTGCCTCATTAATCAGCTGGAATTTAGTGGCTGCTRGTCTGCTGACTGCCCTTATAGGCCAGAGCCTGTGCGAACAGAATAATGATTCAAACGCCTGGGATGTTTCAAATGTTTTTCTTTTGATTTGACTCCCCTTTTTCACTTCCTCCTGAGTGTTAATTTCAAGGTACTACCGTATTTATTGGGGCTGTAGTCCCTTAATGCAATTTGTTTATCATTTTCAGGGTAATATCAGGTTTTAAGGGGTTAATTTTGATTTTAAATGAAAATATTACCCCTGTTAAACAATTGAAGGATATATTTATGCTGTTCTGTAAAGAAAAAAACACATGAACAAAACACAGAATGAAGTGACTGAACTATGAAAGCTGGACCGTGGAACAAAATTACATCTACTGACTTCATCTTATATTAATGTCTATCAGAAATAAAAGTGTCACGAAACAATTGAATTGATGCGGCTCTTTGTGAACCAGTTCTGGAAACTTGTGAAAAAAAAAAGAGAGGTGATGCAAAAGCAAACCCTGAAGTTGTATACAGTAAGATTGATGCCCACAGAGGAGGCTGTGAGGAGCCTCTGGGACATGAGCACTCGTATCAGCAGGGGGATTAAAGAAAATATGCAAAGAAAGAGTCACTGGAAAGATAAATGTGTAGGCAATGTGTGAAGAACACACACACAAAAAAATAAATAAAAAAATGAAACCCCCCACTAGGGAATAACATCAAATTTTTATTCACCTTGAACCTGCAGTGAATTTAGTCTAATTTTATCTTTTGCACACATTGTTACCGCAGCGGTACGGTGCATCTGGTTCCACTGCTGTTCTAGATCCACAGTATTTATAAAAATACAACTGCCTACAATTTGGTTAAACTTGCTCTATCTGAAAATACTTGTTTGAAATGAGCTTTCCTAACTATATTCAGTTTTATGCTGATCCATGACCAGTGCGTTGATGTGATTTTCTTTACATTTTATTACATCTCAATTGTTTTAATTATCCTCCTGTAGGCTCTTTGGCTTTGAAAAAGATTGTCTCCAAGGCAGCCAGAGGCCTAAGTGAAATAAACTCTTTCTAAATGAAAAACAAAGGATTCTACACATGCTCAATATTAGAAAATTGCTACAAAATGTCTTTGTTTAAAATAATAAAATATGAAAATAAAATCACCCACCCCCTTCAAGCCAGAAGCAATGACAGGCATTTCTGATCAAGAACATTTCTGCTTTAACGGGATTCACAATCCATATTCACCACCCGAGACTTTAAAGGGATCCCCGATTAGTTGAAACATTAGACTTTATTTGATAAACATTAATTTTAACTGTAAAATAAAGACTGTAAAAATACTGTAGGCTGTTTGGTTTAGTAAGTTTTTAAAAATATATTTTAACACCGACAGAGCCATTTTATTTACACACAAAGCATTCTGGGTAAATG